CAAATGCAGCAAGAACGAATGTGAGTCTTAAATTTGAGGAGCCAACTGGATTCCGGAGGGGAGATGTCCAAGCAGCTGTGGGACACGGGCAAGCGGAGTTGAGAAGAGGGGGCAGCAGCAGAAAGGCAGGATTGGGATCCACTAACAGTGTGGATTTGACCTCAGCTCCTAGGATGCTGCATAGAGAAAACAGGGACAGGAGAACAAGATGGGGAGAGAGAAAGGCCAAAGGTTGGATGTCACAGTTCATACAGAACCTGCATGTACACTTCACACCCACCCTGGAAGTGTGGCAAGAATCACATAGTGCTTTTTTTTTACATATCTCTTTTTTTAAATCGTTTTTTTCTATTTTTTTGAGGGGGCAGGTAATTAGATTTACTTGTTTGTTTTTGTTTTTCAGTGGAGGTACTGGGGATTGAACCCAGGGCCTCATGCATGCTAGGCAAGTACTCTACCACTGAGCTATACCCTCCCCCAAGAATCACATAGCTCTTAAGAGATGGAGCAGAGATTGAAGCTCAAGCCTGCAATTCTAAATTCTGTCTTGGGCGATGCCATCTTTGGGGGCACATGGAAGCCATTTGTCACAGTGCAAATGAGGACAAAAATATGGTTTGAGGAGCTGCCTGGGTGACAGAGGGGATGGTAACTGGCCAAAAGAAGCACGAAGCTGCCTTGCCCAGAGAAACCTGAGTGGGCTCTGAGGCTGTTGGGGGTGCTGAGGGGGAGTGTTGTTCAGTGAGAGCCTGGAGTTGGCCAGGAGATGGGCACACAGGGAGAGGGGCTGGGAGGCAAGAAGGCATCCTTTTGCTTGTGAGACCAGGGAGAATAAAAGAGAGACACAGGAGCTTCTGGTGGAGAGGAGAGAAGTTCCGAGCCATTCCTGCATCTGCTGCAGGGCCCAAGAGTGGGGCCACGTGCTGAGGAGGCCATGAAGACCTGTGAGGCTTGGACGAGAATCCTTGAGCATCCAGGGATCCTGCTTAGGTCAGGGCAGAAGCACGGTGCTTTCTCCAGCCTTTTGGAGCAGCCTGGAGTCTGGGCAGGAGGCAGCAGATGGGAGTGGGCCTTGCCAGGGCTGAGGAGATCCATGAGGCAGTGGGGGACTGGAGCCAGTGTCCTCAGATGACCAGCACCTTCTCCTGATTTCAGGCCAGGAGAAGGGGGAAGGGGTCTGCCATTGTGGGTCACGCCTTTGTTTGCCTGTTACGTTTCCTTTTAAGGTTAAAATTGAAACTCACAGCACAGCTGAGCCATAGTCCTTCTCACCAGGACCCCCCAAATGTTAAGATTTCACCACATTTGCTTCCTTATCTTCCTGAACCATATGACAATAGGTTGCAGACATGACGCCCCTTTACCCTTCAATATCTCTTTCCTAAGACAAGGGTATTCCCTTGCCTAACCAGAGCACAGTGATCAAAATCAAGAAATTACCACAGATCTGATACTCTCATCTAATCGACAGACCTGAGTCAGATTTTGCCAAGTGTCCCAATTATGTCCTTTGTAGCAACAGAAGACCCCCATTACCTTCAGCGAGCCCTCACCCTTCCTCTCTTTACCCTGGAACTGCTCCTCCCTCAGTCTGTCTGTGTCTTTCCTGGCATGGACATATCTGAAGGGTGAAGGGGCGTCATTTTGTGAACTGTCTCCCACTTTGGGTTTGGAGGTACTCCTTGATCTCAGTCTGAAAACCCTTCCCAGCCTGGCTGATTCAACTCCCCACAGCAAACAAAATGCTGCCTGCCACCCTGATGAGCCCTGGTGCCAGAGCGGGGAGGAAGGATGAGGTGGTAGAAGGTTCTGGAATCAGCAGGGAGGGCAGTGGTGGCAGGGGAGCCTGGGTGGAGTGGCTAGTCACAAAAAGCTGTTTGCGACCAAATCCAGAGTGGAAACTGCCCGCGAGTGTTCTTGCTGCGTGCTGCTCAGAAGCTGCGTGAGCGACTTCCTTGCCTGTTCTGTCCCTTCCCATCCAGAAGGAAACTGAACCGAAGGGAAGAAGGCAGGAGGGTGGCTTAGGAGGAACTGGTGTTGAGGGGTGCCCTGCCCAAGGGCATTGGCACTGAGATCCCCGAGCCAGGCACCCAGCCCTGGAGACGCAATTCAGCTTGATGCTCTGGGCCCAGTAGCCAGCTGGCATGCATTGACGTCTCCAGTGACATTTTCTTGGGTTTGTGTGGCTGGAAGCAAGTGTGTTCTTGTACAATCTAAAGAGATTGCCTCATCCAGGCTGGGCAGAAGGCCCGCACCTGCTGTTTATTCTAGGGATTTTTGTCTTCCGGGAGGTAGAAAATCAATTCCTTGCCTTGGAGTTGGGTTCCCTGGCGGGGGGGCACAGTTTCTCAGCCTCAGGATTTAACTCATCTGGCTTTCCACGATATGTAGCTCCTCTTGGCCTTAGAAACAAAACTCTGGGGGGCACTCCCAGAGGCTGGGCCACTACTTTAAGGACACCTGTCAAATCCTGTTTACCCGACATTCACCTCCTCCCACGTGGCCCCCTGATTCCCTGGAAGGGGGTCTGTGTTCCTCAGAACATTCTGGGCCTCCACTGCCCAGTGCTTTGGGATGAGTTGCTTCCCTCTTGTGTCCCAGCTGTGAAAGACTCTCCCTGGGTAGTCAGGGAGGTGCTGCGTGAAAACCATTTGGTGGGTGCAGCTGGCACACGGGAGCCCCAGAGGGCCTTGTCCCTGTTGCTGTAATTCACACGTGTGGCTGAGCTTCCTGCTGGCATCTCCTGCAGGCTCCATGCTCTGCAAAGCCCCAGTGTTGAGTTGAAAGAACCCGCATGTAAAGCCCAGAAGGACTTTTATTTTGGTGGGGGGGTGGTAATTTAATTAATTAATGTATTTTTAGAGGAGGTCCTGGGGATTGAATCCAGGACCTCATGCATGCTAAGCACGCACTCTACCACTTGAGCGGTACCCTCCCCGCCTCAGAAGGACTTTTGTCTTTCTTTGGGAAGCACGTTTGTTGGACCAGAGAGTGGAAACCCCACAAGCACAGCAATCGGAAAAGGAACACGATCCCCAGAAATAGAACCGTCGGAAAGTATATCTAGCCGGTAATGAATAAAGCAGGTCTGAGGAGGCCGTAAGTCAGGTCACCAGGGTTTGAATCCACTCGCTTACATCCTAAACAGCAAGCCGCGGCCTCCGTCCCCGTGGTCCCTCCTCAGCAACAGGGACAGCGGGGTGTGAGGGGCCTCCCCCCAGCTGCCCCGGCGGCTCAGCCAGAGCCAGCTGTGCCCACAAAGCCCCTAGTCAGGCCTCCCCTCCCAGCTGCCGCGGGGAACAGGTTTGCCCTTTCCAAGTGCTCTCAGGTCACTTGCGGTCTTTCCATGGAGCCGGACAACAGCCATCTGTTCTGCTTTTCATTTCGTCCAGAAAAATCCCAGTATTCCGCACCCCCCTCCTCCTGGGGGTTCTTCTTCAGCCTCCCCTGCACTTTCCAGAAGGTCGTCTGGCTCTGAACTGGGCCCCTGCTGGGTGACTCCGTCTGCCCTGCGTCCAATTAGACGAAGGCTGGTGATGCCCAAGTCCGTGCTGAGCATGCGCAAGGCCATATGGTCAGGAGACAGAGGTTTCCTGTGCCAGCGGCAATGGTGGCGACCTGAACCACATTCATAGCCTTTAAAGAAATCTTTACCTGGTGAAAGTTACAGACATGGATGGCGGAAGATGAGAACAAACCCTGTGGGACTGGATTGGAATCGGAGGTGTTAACATGAGCTGGTGGTTTTGTTACACAGACATGCGTGTGTGTACCTGTGCACAAACACAAATAAATACAGAAATACACACAGATACACACACACAGATAATAGATATGGAAACACATAGACACATACCATAGGTGTAGAAATACACACACACACACAGACATGTAGGTATGGGTGTATGTATTTATATACGTACATCTTCTAGAAGCAATGATACCCCAGTATCAGTGAGCACACCTAGCACCCAGATCTTGGTTTCTTAATACCATCCTCTACAGAAAGGAACCACAGCTCCTTAGAGAATGGCTGATTCCAGGAGAGAAAGCACAACCTGGCCTGGAAGATCTTGTGTCAGAAAGTGAGGAAGTACACCAGAAATTGACACAACATTGTAAACTGACTATACGTCAATTATATAAATAAATAAATAAATAAATAAATAAATATATTATATATATATATATATATATATATATATATATATATATATATAAAGAAGTGCTCAAAAAATAAAGGGGGCATCTCAAAAGGACATTCCTGCTGGCCAAATCTGAGACAATTTAAGCATCAAATGAAGACTGATAGTAACAGATTATAAGTCATTGAATAAAATAAGAATCCATGTATACATGCTGATATAAATAAATAAATAAGAGAAATGAAAGCTCTTCTTTTAGCATGCAGTGACAAGTATAGAAGAAATGATGGAATTTGAAAAATACTACTTAATATATACAAGATATTGTGGTAGCTCATGGTGAAAAAGAATGTGAAAATGAATATATGGATATTCATATATGACTGAAAAATTGACACAACATTGTAAACTGATATAACTCAATAAATAAAAAAAGAAAAACATCACTTAGCAATTGTCATAGTAATAATTGATTCGGGCAAGAATCATCAATGGATATTAAAAACAATGGGTGAAAGTTATCTGAGTAAAGTGAATATTTGCCAAGTTTCAAAGAATCACCCCATAAATACTTGTATTTAAAGGTTTTTTTTTGGGGGGGTAATTAGGTTTATTTATTTTTTTAATGGAGGTAATGGAGATTGAATCCAGGACCTTGTGCATGCTAAGCATGCGCTCTACCACCGAGCTACACCCTCCTGCCTAGTGCTTGTTAATCACAAAAGGAAAACTTGTAACTATGCAGTGAAGAATGCTGGCAGCCACCGCCCTCACCAAGTGATCATGGGTAACCTCACCAGGAAAGGGGCAAGTCGACCTCAGGTGCCTCCTGATATGATCACCGAGAAGGACACATGCCACCTCTGTAGTATTCCTACCAAATAATGCAGAATCTGAATCTAGTCTTGAGGAAACAGCAGACAAGCCTACACTGAAGGAACATCCACAAAATCACAGGCTACAAACTAGCTTCAAAAAGGCCATGTCACGAGAGACAGAGACTACAGAATGCCTTCAGATGAAAGGAAGATGAGGAGATTGACGACATTGCCAATCGGGCACTTCTTTGCCATAAAGAACATAATTGGTGACATCTGAATAAGGTCTGTAGATCAGATAATAATATTGTGTTAATGTTAATTTTCTGATTTTGATTATTGTACTTGTGGTTATTGTAAGATGGAATCTTTGTTTGTAGGAAATACACCCTGAAATATTTAGAGTTAAAAAAAAATCATGGCTGCAATTTACACTCAGACAGCTGAGAAAAAGACAGCCACGTACACAGAGTGCAATGAAGCAAGTGTGGGAAGACAGGTAACGACTGGAAGCTGGATGAAGGGTATTCAGGAGTTCTTTGTGCTAGCCTTATAACTTTCCTGTAAATCTGAAATTACACCCGAAAAAATAAAAATAAATCTTCAAGTTGCTGAAATGTTTTTAAAAAGTCATCCAAAATAAACCTTGTTAATCCCCCTTGTTCCATGTACCCTTTTCATTTTCGTCGCCTGCTTCACCATGCGACCCCCTGGGACTGGTTGCTGGTCCATCTAGAGTATCTGTGAAGGTTTTCAGGGTGTCTCTGAGCAGCAGGGAGCCCTGGGGGAGCCTGGCAGCTCCTACGTGCTCTGCCCTGTGGTCAGTTATTTCAAGGCTTATTTTCCTGCTGGCCTGCAAACTCCTTAAGGACAGGGACCGGGTCTTATCTTTCTGTCTCCTTTGCAGTGAGCACTCAGTAAATGTCTAACGGAATTAAGTTGAAAAGAAGTGTGCAATCTTTGACTTCCCGTGTCTTTGACCTTTGGGTAAAGCGTGAAAACAGCACACAGTGAACAATCATGACTGAGTTACAGCCGGGCATCCTGGTGTTGTTACTGGGTTTTTCTCCTACTAGAAAGTGTGTTCTTTTAGGGGGAGGGTATATAGCTCAGTGGTAGAGCACATGCTTAGCATGAGTAAGGTCCTGGGTTCAATCCCCAGTACCTCATTAAAAAATAAGTAAATAAATAAACCTAATTCCCCCCTCCAACAAAAAAATTAAAATAAAATAAATAAGTACTTTAAAAATGTGTTCTCTTATTTTTTATTTTCTTTTTTTTTTTTAGGTTGAGGAGTTTACTAGTGAAATATGAGGCAAAGATACCCGAGTGACAGAAAGAAAACTCTGAAAATGTCCCTTTTCAAGCCAAGTGTGGACCTGGCCTTGACCTTCCCAAAAGGACAAGAAACTGGTAGGTTAACAGCAACATTCTCTGGCAGCCACTTTGCCAGGATGTGAGTGTCTCAGCCAGGACAGCTTCCCACCCCCGACCAAAGTGGAGAGGAGACAAAGACTGTTTACAGAATCAGTGCAGAGGCGGTAAGAGCTGTAAGGAAAGCCTGAGAGAGAAAGAGAAAGAGAGAGGTGGGGAGGACCGTGACAGAGTCCCAGGCTTTTGGCTCTTAGCGCCTCGAAAGAAAAATGTACCCTTTAAAAAAATACATTTTTATTGCAGAAAATTGAGAAAATACAGAAAAGCAATAGAGAATGTAAATGACTTAGAGGCTGTAGCATCAGCTCTTCCCTGATGAAGAGCCACCCACCACCCAGAGATATCAGTGTCCGTCCCTTTGAGCTTTTCCTATGCAAAATTGTAAGTGCCAATTTACGCAGATAGGTGTAGATGCAGATATTCATATTATAAAACTAAGGTCATTCTATGCTGATTTGTAATATTAAGTTTTTCATTTATGCACAGAATTAGATTGATCAAAATCTTCAGCTTACCATGTTTTGTTTTGTTTTGTTAATTGCAGTGTAGTCAGTTACAATGTGTCAGTTTCTGGTGTGCAGTGTAATATCCCAGTCATGCGTATATACATACCATGTATTTTTATTATTAGTCCATGCATCACAGCTCCCTTTTGTCATTCATTCATTCAATACTATTTTAATGAAATGGTTTCAGTTACCAGCCAACTCAAAAATCAAAACACTGACAATAATTTGAATCTACTATATGTATTCCTCACAGAGTCTATCCCATCCCCTCTCAGAGATAACTAAAATTCTAAAGTATTTTTAAAAATGCATTTTTAAAATTTTTGTAACATTATAAAAAGGGAATCATACTGTAAGTTGATTAGTCAGGGTTCTCAAGATAAACAAAACCAAAAGGATATATATATCCTTGAACAAAAATATATGAACAAGAAAGGGGCTGTGGGTACCAACTCTCCCCATAGTCAAAAATCCAAGTATGATTTAGTCTTCCCTCTGCATTCATGAATTCAAACAACCACAGATCATGTAGTACTGTAATATTTACTATTGAAAAACATCTGTGTATAGGTAGATCTGTGCAGTTTAGACCTGGGTTGTTCAAGGGCCAACTGTGTGTGTGTATATCTATATCTATAGAGAGAGAGGGAGGGAGGGGTTTTAAGGAGTTGGCTCACACTACTGTGGGGCTGGCAAGTCTGAAGTCCACAGGGCAGGCAGCAGGCTGGAGACCCAGGGAAGAGGTGGTGCTGCATCTTGAGTCCAAAGGCCATCTGGAGGCAAAATTCCCCCTTAACTCAAGGCACCCAGTCCTTCCTCTTAAGACCTTCAACTGATTTGATGTGGCCCACCCACATTATGGATGTAATCTGCTTTATTCAGAGTTGACTGATTTAAACGTTAATCTCATTTAAACCATATCTTCACTGTGACATCTAGATTAGTGTTTGACCAAACATCTGGGTACTGTGGCCTGGCCAAGTTGACACATACAATTAGCCATCCCGTAAGAAGCCTACTGGACTTGATCTTTCTCACCCCACGTTACGTTATGAAGGTTCGGGCACGTTTTTGTTTAGCTGGAGTTAATTCGTGTTCACCACTGTGAGATATTCCATCATGGGAAAACGCCCCTACCCTGTTCCATCTTCTGCTAATGGGCATATAATGTCACAAACAGGCAGGGGGACTCTCTGGAACTTGTTTCCTGGGGTAGATGTGGGGGCTTTGTCTTAGGTCATAAACCCAGGAGCGGTTTCCTGAGCTGCTGAGCACATGAATGTCCGAGTTCACAAGGTGAAGCCAGATGATTTCCCAAGTTGTTATCCTGGTTTCACTCTCTGGGCTGTGTGGTTCACAGCCTCTCCAGCCTCTGGCATTGTCAGACTCTTGATTTTTGTCAAGGAGTGGATGAAAAACACTTCCTTTTTGCTGCCTTGGTTTATGTTTCCTTGATTAACAAGGAGGCATGCATCCCTTTGTGTTCCTGTTGGCTGGGGCTGTCTCCTCACCGGTGCGATGCCTATTCATGGCTTTTGTCCGTTTCTGTTGGGCTAGGAGTTCTGTATACATTGTTAACACAACTGTTTGTGCTCCTGCCCTGACACCTCCCTCTGCCATGCCTTCAGGGTCCCAAAGGCCCCTCACACCTTGCCCTTGAGTGCTGAGGGGCTCTTTGAGCTCTCACTGCTTTCCAACCGGCCATCTCCTCATGGCAGCCCTGGTCCTTCGATCACCACTGGATTCCCTCACTTGCCTTGCACACGGGCTGCTCTAGCTGGCCATCCTGCCTCCATCTCAGACTCCATGTGGCTGAGACCAGCCCCTGCTTCCCTCCAGCCCCGACCCCGGCTGTCCCCACTGTTGGAGCCTCAGCACACCATCTGCTCCCGAGCCACAGACTGTAGCTGAATTTACCCCAAAATGGAACCCAGCACTGAGAGTCAGAGCCGTGCATCAGAGCCTTGAATGCATCAGAAGTCTGGCTCCTCCTGTCTTTAGAGTACAAACAACAAAACTCCAGGTGCAGGGAGGGGATTATATATTCTCTCTATCTCCCTGTCTCTCTCTCTCTCAGTTAGTGTCTTCCTGCCTGGTGGGCTAAGCAACAAGACGACCCCCTTCTTGTCCTTGGGTTGAGTTGCTTCTTTGTTTAACACGAGATTTAGATCAGGACATAGAAATATTTTTAAAGCATCATTTATTAAAACCTTGGTGTGAGGAGGGTGGAT